GTCCGGTTCGACTCGACATTTTTTAAAACACTGGTTGTAAGTAATTGTGACTACCTTGTATCAAAAGTAAATGGTCTCATTGTATACAATCATTTCAGGAAAATATATAAATTTGATTTGGTCCTATACATGACCAAACCACCCCAAGTTGTTGATGTGCTCTCCCTTGATTGCTCTAGTCTCCCTCTTTTTTGTTGAATATTCCTAATTGTTTTAATTAGGCCAATAAAATTAAGAAATATTTTAGTATTGAAGTTTTAAAGTCATGTCAAAAAATATGGTTTCGATGTGATAAAATTTGCAAATCGATCATCACCACCTTGATAAATATATGAAAAAAAAAATTAATTTTAAGCAAAATGCTTGATCCATCTCACCATACATTTAGAACTACCTGTTTCATAAATTTGCCGTACCTGCACTAGTCCTCGAGCCTTAAATTCTACAATCAATTAGTGGCAAAAATAGATTTCGTAATGTTTTCAGCACTAACGTTGTATTTTCCGGCAAGGTTTAGAAGGGTAAATTTAAGAAAGCCACATATCTATGTAGACCTCACTAAAAGTATTAGACGGTTTCAGACGATAGAGGTGGGTTCAAAGTCACATATCTACTCTACTGCTCTCTTCTACCTCCATGTCCTCTACTCTAAGCCCTCTCTGCCTTCATCTTTGCCTTCTCTACGAAGGTTTTAGAATAAAATTTTGATCGGAACCGGTCACTGGTATTGGAAAGTGTTTTGGCCATTAATACTTATTTTTACATTTTTTTATTTATTTTAGAATATTTCAAAAATACTTTTAGGTATAAATCTATTTTTTTACTAATTTTCAACTTCATTTGTATATGTTTTATTTAATCATGCTTTAAATATACCTTTCATATTTTTTTTTATCTTTTTTAACTGGCTGAGATTTGTTCAGTTAGGCCGATTGAACTAACCAATTACCCGATATTCGGTATGGCGAATTTCCGAGGTCATCGATCACTACCCCAAACTGATGTCTAAGGTTAAGCCTAAGACTGAAGGACTAATTTCCTGCTCATGATTGCTCTAAATTTGTAAAAGCTTGTACCTATTTCAAGAGATATTTCTTTCTTGTTGAATTTTAGGGTGGGCCAAACCGTTGTCCCTATCTTTGAAAAGAGAGAAAGATGCACCGCGTTGGGTTTTGAAAAGAATAATAAGAACGAAACCGACCATCCATAACCATAGGGAAAAAAAAGAAACCATGGGACAACCGACCATCCATTCCAACTACCAAAAATAAAAACTTGCAAAGCTTGATCACTTCACACACTCATCCCAATTCTAGTCTCTTATGTTTCCCGCTTGGTATTCTTTTTTTAAACCCTTCTTTTGTTTAATTTTTTGAATGTTGCGGGAGTGGCAATTTGGTCTAGTCAAAATTGGTCATGTATTTGATCCAATTTATTGTATTAAATTGAAAAAACAAATATTAAACAAATAAGACAAACTGTTTAACATATAAAATATATTACAAATAAATTATCTAATTCTATTAAGTCAATTTGACCATTTACAATCAGCTAGTCCAACTAACCAAAATATTCAAAAAATGATTTTGACTGATTTTTTACTTAAACTTATTTTTTGCTTGGGATTGGACTAGTCAAGGCACCAATCAGCCCAACAACCCAATTTAGTCTTGACAAGAATGCCTCATTTAAGATTTAGAATGGCATTGAAGGGTGAAAAGGGAGACATGCCATTAAAGGGTCGCTAGGGAAAAAGTTTATATATAGCCGAGGCTCTCAACAATCAAATTGGAGCCCACCTCAAAAATTTCATTAAAAGAAGTTATTTGGAAGCTCAAATATCCTCATATTGATCATCTCAATATCAAAATGTATGGACATGAGAAAAAAATGGAAATCAAATAACGTATTTTTGGATCGTCAATTTTCAAGATTTTCATAGACCTGCTAGATCTACATTATTTTTTAAGTTTTAAATTTTATAATTGAAGATGAAATTATATTTTAAGGCTATCACAAAGATTTCCAGTATTGAAACCACATTTCTCGATACTATTTGAAGGTGCGTTTTACTTTGATTGTTTAGAGCCTCGGTTTTATACGAACCACACCCTAAATTAAAATGGTCAAACTACCTCAATAAAATGAGATGGTCAAACCAACCAATATATCAATAAAATCGTTACTTTGAAGTTTTTGTTTCATGCAAGTACTTCCTTTTATGCAGTTTTAAAACATACGTAAAGTGCATATGTTCTAGGTTGAGTATCTTCAACTAGGGATATTTACATCATTTTGCTCAACTCATGTTGTTGGTACTAAATGATGAAACCACGCAAGCTTGTGTCTTGTGTTCAATTATTAAAATATCTCTGTTGCCCAGGGTCTCATACGCAAAACAAATATATATATAGGACACTTATGATAAAAGGATACTTTTAGGTCCTGCTGAAAAAGCTATTTTTATGAAAAATCTATGAGAAAAAATAAAAAATTAAAAAAAAAAGTAGAAATAGAAAACTTTGGCTAAAGGTTGAGAACCCTTATTTGGTACTTTATATGTGAAAACTAGATAAAGCTCGAGCTAGAGCTTATGCAAAGAGAGATTAGGAGGGGAAAGAGAAAATACAAGAGAGACGAAGAGGGTCTTGCCTCTTGCGTTTCTCCATTTTTATGAGAAATCGACAGCTTATTTTAGTGTTTTTTCTGAAAACGAGAGAAAGTGTGGAAATGTAGAGAAATGCATGACTCTGCATTTCCACGCTTTTTCCAATTTCCCAAATTACGGAAAATACAGTAACAGAGAAAATAAGTCATTCTCACTTGTTTCTTTAATTACCAAAACATGGGGCATCGTCCATATATATATGTATATATAGAACACATAG